CACTCTAGAGGATCCCCATGGTTATTGGCTCAATTATATGTGATGAGACAAGAACCAATACCATTTAACATCCGCCATATCCAACATAGAATCGATTTGACAATCAAGACCCATACGAGCGAAATGTCTTCCATGTCGATCATCATGCACTGAAAGACCGGCCGTACTGACATATCTGATCCGTTTTGACTTGAAAGTTGACTAAAGCTGTGGAAAGGAGCCTGAAGGCAGGTAGCCGTGCGTCACCACACCCTATGATAACAAGTGGATGCACCAGGATAAAATAACAATGGATCTGGTCTGAGAATGCATGAATGCCTTCCATGAATGGTAGGTGATCACCATTGACCAGCCTCACCTATGTAACTGCTCAACCTACTTATTATATTATTAGATGTAACCACACATACACAGCATGCATGCTATGTGCATGCGGGTAGGAATGCATATGCAAAGTGTGTACAAGCATGCTGATTGTTGGTAAGGTCCTCATGACATGGTTGCACAGTGCAGTGCCCATACCACATACAGGCTATCGATAGGGGTGATAGAAACCGCCCCTGCGGTTTGCGCAGGATACATCAGGTTGGGGTGAAAAACCTACTTCTGCTTCGCTGCAAGAGGATTTCTGCACGCTTCTGACAGACACTCTTGAGTCAAGGAGGGTCATTACCAGGGTCCCTCCGGGATCGAACCGGAGACCTGCTGATCTGCAGTCAGCTGCTCTACCACTGAGCTAGAGACCCTTCGTTTCGTCGCTGAAGAGGAAGCTGTCGTGCGCGTGTGCCGGGGAGTTGCGGGAATTGAATCCACGACCTCTCGCACCCTAAGCGAGAATCATACCACTAGACCAAACTCCCAAACATGCCATCGTTGTACGACACAAACATACCACAACAACGCAAGCCGTACATACACACACATGAAAACGCACGCATGAGACTCATATCTTGTCACCCTGGCGTCACCGGCCCCTGAAACTAGGGCAGAAGAATGTAAGGAACGCTATGCATGTATACAGAGGTTTTGTGCGCATGAATGATTTGTGATGCGAATAAACCCCCCACATCCATGTTGTGCAAACATCGGAGGTTACTGCTCTATCTACATTAAAATCCTACCCTGCCGCACTTGGCCCATCCAGCTACCAACTCATAGGCAGGGCATATAGCAGCATCTATCTGTATCCTTACAGATCTAGTAGATTGCAGCACGTGGCAGATGCTCGCCTGGTGGCACGACTGACCTTGCGGAAGCGTGGAGCTTAGGGGCCTTGCTGAGGCGGGAAGGAGTCCAACCCAGCGACAGGCACTAGCTTACATAGACAAGATCGAAGCAACTAAGACGGTGGCAGCAGAGTCTTGGACTCCGAACACCAAGTAGTCGTGATACTGAAGTGCCTGGCCAGAGCACCCCGCCCGGGTAGCTTATATCTTGGCCTACCTGCCGGA